GTCAGATCAGCAGTCTTCCCCATGATTGTGTAGCCTAGTGAACCAAACCAAAAGAGACCATTTTGAAGGCTCAGGAAACCTTTGCAGGCGTTTTGAGTTGATTAGCTGATTGGCATGTCACCATATTCTAATTTGTTGAGATAGTGAATTGGTGGGTTTTTGTTAAATGTGAGCCAAAATCATCACAATTAAAAGAACCAAAGACTTAAACTACTTCAGTCGGTGTGCATTGAATTTATTTAATACACGAGTTTCACAATTTGAGTTGAATTACTGAAATAAATGAACTTTTCCACGACATTCTAAATTATTGAGATGCACCTGTATAGTTATAGCCTATTTTAAGGATAATTTATTTTATTTCATAGTAATAATAATAATAATAGTAAATGCTTTAATAAACATTAAATTATATGATTATAAATATATTTAACAACAACATAATTTAAGAATAAAAATAATACCTCTGTAAACTACTTGGGTAATAATGACAGATTTGACAAGGTTCTGCTTTCACCTGCTAAACTGCATATCGCTGATCTCAAGTCTGTGGCTATAACATGGGGCACAAATGTCATAATAATTGCAATATATATTACCTAACGTGTGGGAAATGGAGATGGCATGTTAGCAAGGTTGGGATGAACAGCTCATCTTAAATATTACTCAAAGATGAGCCTGGTTTGTCAGAGGGTTGACGTCTGATGGCTGATCAGTAATAGATCAGATCTTCTTTCAATAAGTAAACTGGATCGAAATGTTTGTCCAGCCATTCTTGACCAAACTAAAAGAACAGAAATATTGGTGGTAAGTATGGTGAAAATGAATGACACAAAGGAGTGTTCAAAAATATTTAGTGGTGTGACTAAATTCCTTCAGTGGAAACGTGACAAAAATGCAGTACTTATTTTATAATCCGGTTAAGCCTTAGGCATAATGTATGCCTAGTTCTCTCTCTCATATCTAAAAAAAAGTACTTGTTTTCACATCTAATTCTTCGAAAATTCACATTGGAATCACATGTATTTACAGAATTGCGAGCAGTGTATTGACATTCTCAGCAGAGATGCTTCATAAGACAAGAAGAAAAACTTCCTCTCTCCTTGTTTTTACAGTTCTATTTTTTTAGCTAAGAATAATACTTTGTATTTGAATACCAAACAACAATGTGATGAAAGAACCACACAACGGCAAAATAACAGGAAAAAACATCTACAAACATACTTTGTTGCATTTAGACAGAGACTGACTGACAGATGTAAAAACAAAAACTGGCTATTTACGAAAAACACAAACAAGTTATACAGAAAAAGAGAAACAAGATGTCAACCTTACAATCATTTCCCATAGGCAAATATGCAGCATCGTGCGTGAAGTGGAAGCAGGCCAGGATGTTCGTAACTACACACACTAATCAATATTTTTCCTGGCAGCGGCGTTATCTGCACAAGACCGCGTAATTCAGACAGGAGCCAACACAGCCTCATCAGGTCTCACGAAAGCTTCCCATTCCCCAGACACAAGAAGCAATCTAGTCCTGCTTCCTGTTCACCCCAACTGACCCGTAAGAATCCAGCATTACAACCTTCCTCCCCTGATGCTTGAAACATTCCCTGCAGCATTCACAAAAGTCACACACATACAGACACACATACACTTAACACTGATATGAATATAAAACCTACAGTGCATAATTAATATTGATAAATAGTTTACTCTATCAACATTTCAAAGTTTGGAGGTGCTTGAGGCCGAAGAGAGGTCTTCACTTGAACAGCTTCAGAAAAGAATCTGCAAAAGCCAGTGATTCCAGCTCTAAGAAATATATCATCTATATAAATAATGACAATTTCATAAGCAATACAAAACAATTTTAAAGAATCCCAGATAAACCTTCCCAGTTGAGCTGGGCAAGTGCCATCAGTCATATTGGGTAAGAGGAGTGATTTCTTTAAGTTTTATGTTCACATCTGGTTGATTTAGCCAGGTAACGCAGATGAGTTTGCAAATGCTCAACACACAAAGAGTAGACAGCCATAGGGGGCGCTTAGCATTCTGAGGGGATGTCTTCTTTTCCCTTTGTGAGTAAATCTTTCCAAGTGCTATGACTCCCAGTCATTCAAACTTCGGCGACATATCCTTTGTAATAGCCCATATCCTGCCTCCTGATATGAGGAGCTCCAATTAGTTTGGCCCTTGCCCAGAATTGTCTATCAGCTGACACCTTGATGGCAGACAGGTGCATTGGCGAGCAGAAGACGCACTTTTCCCCTCAGGAAGTTGATGTGGACCTGAAACAGCTCTGAGATTGAGGATACTTTCTGCATCTCTTTGTCTTCTCCACCACTGGTTGGAGGTACATATTCCTGAGAGACAGGGAAATGAGTTAAAGAGTAAATATGCAGTGCAACTAATAGTCTGTAACAGCTTTATGTTTTAGACACACATAATTCATGCTTTTACATTTTTATTAGCTGTAAGAAAAAAATCTGTAAAAAAACTAAAAAAGTACTTGTACTTTAATGGAACATTTTCCATTAAGTTTCAGGGCATTTCCTTTCATTTTAAAAATGAACATTTTCTGAATATGTACTCACCCTCAGACCATCCAAGATGTAAATGAGTTTGTTTCTTCATCAGAACAGATTTGGAGAAATTTAGCATTCCATCACTTGCTCACCAATGGATCTTCTGCAGTGAATGGGTGCCATCAGAATGAATTAAAAAAGCTGATAAAAACATCACAATAATCCACAAGTAATCCAGTCCACCAATGAATGTCTTGTGTAAATGTTTTGTAATAAACTTAAATAAATAATTCTTTATTAAGATTTAAGTTTTTAACTTCAAACCATTGCTTCCAGCTAAAATACGAGTCATCTACCTATAATATTGCTTTCTCCGGTCAAAGAGTCGTCACGTCTGAATCAGGAGAGAAATATGCACAGATCAAATACAGTTTACAAGTGAAAACAGTCCAAAAAGTTCTAAACAAATATGTTGGTGCATTTTGATGTGAGAGGACAACAGAGGATGGACATTTTTACTGGAGGAAGCCTTATTATGGATTATGCTTAAAACACTGGATTTGTTGCTTTCCACTTTTTTTCATTAAATTGTTAATTGATGATTACTTGTGGAGTATTGTGATCATCTGTTTGAACTCTCATTCTGATGGCACCCATTCACTGCAGAGGATCCATTGGTGAGCATGTGATGTAAAGCTACATTTTTCCAAATCTGTTCCAATGAAGAAACAAAGTCATTGATATCTTGGATGGGCTGAGGGTGAGTACATTTTCAGCAAATTTTCATTTTTGAGTGAACTATTCCTTTAACCCTTAAACATAATACAATACAATGCATAATTTCAAAATATGGCAAAAACACCTGTGAAAAATTCCTTCATATTGGCGCTGTATATTGGACCCTATTTTTTTTAGAATGTAGTCGCATAGCCGCTGTTTGTTTTAGCACTACGACACAATTACACAATCACCATACAGTGACAAACATGTTCTCTTCCTGAAGTTGACATAAGTTTGTAGCATACTGCTCTTGATTAGCATAACATCCATTTTCCTGTTCCTGTAGCTTGAGTGGTTGAACATGATGCTAGCAATGCCAAGGTCACAGGATTTGATTCCCAGACAACAGATTAGCTGATGTAATGAATGTCAAAACTATGTTCTTTTAGTTTCATCATCATGGACTTTTAGTTTTTCTCTAGGTTCCTATCTTCCTTGTTCAGTTTTCCTGCCACTCTTTAGTTGTCATGGAAATTCATTTAATCATCACAGGTGTTATTCATTAGATCCCTAATTTGCCTTGTATTTATGTTGCTCTGTCTCACTCTTGATTTTGTCTGGTATCGTTTGTGTTATGCCCAGTTCAGACCACGATTTTAGCCCGATTTTGCCACGATTTGCTTGACATAGGGTGTCGTGGGGATTCGTAAACGACAATGGGCGTCGGGACGCAAGATTCCATCGTTTCTGCACGTGTAGTGTGTCATAGTGGACGACAACCGATTCCGTGTCTGCGATGCTTCATGACAGAAAGGCTAGCATGTTTATTTTTTTTTTTCGTCGTCCACGACGTGTTCTGTCACATTGGTGACGTTGACCAATAGCAGCACAGAAGCTCTTTCATACACAGGTTTCAAACATGGCAAAACGAAAGAGAGATGATGGTGCTGCTAGGTGGAATTATGAGATGGAGGAATGTTCGTGGAGCTGTGGCAACAGTACTCCTGCCTGTATGATGTGTCATCGAGGGACTACCATGGCAGAACAAAGAAAGAAAAATGCTGGCAAACTATAGTGGAAGCGCTTCAGCAATGTTTACATTCTTGTTTTCGGAAGTCAGTCGCTAGTTCCGCCTTCTCGATGACATCACGCATGCCGTCTTTAACGACGGGCTTTAACAATGAATGGTCGGGAAGCAACGTGTAGTCTGACATGTTTCTTGTCCACGACAAGATTTTAGGAGTCAAAATCGTGTAATCTGACACAGTGACTATCGTGACCGACAAAAATATTGTGTAGTCTGAACCCGGCATTATACACAACTGTCTTGCATGTGGCAGATCTTCTGAGTAATTTATTAAACTTTGTATTGCTTTATATTCATCTACGTCTTCCTTGGACATTGTGACAGAATATCAGACTGCTCTGGATTGGGACGAATTACCATTATCCCGTAGACCTCCCAGACACAACAGGACTTGACTGGAAGGAGGCCGTCATTAGGTGTCTGGAGAGCATCTTTCCCTGATCCAGAGCACCGCCAGTCCCACAGCCCAGCCAACCATCAACACGCTGCATGGAGCGTCTGCCAGAGCCCACCGCGACTGAAGAGCCAGCGTGAGAAGAAGCGACTGAGCCTGTCATCGCCCTGAAGCCAGAGCTGATTAACCAGAGTCTGACCAGGTGTGTGAGCCTGCAACACTGCACGTGCCGGAGGGAGTATTAGTGGAGTATGGAGTCTCCTGTGTTCCCTTCCAGCCTTCCTCTATCACCTCATCTCTATATTTCTGCCAGTTCTGCTGCCCTGTCTCCGCTGGTTCCTGTAAGCACCTTAGCTCACCCTCAGTCAGCACCATCCTGGAGCCTTGTCTCGCCTCGGGGCTTCTTTCTCCAGCTCTGCCTCGGCGTGAGGATCCGCTGTCTCCAACTCCAGCCTCCGACTCCTGGACTCCACCTCGGCCCTTCGACCCATCAGCTCCACCTTGGATCCTTGCTTCTTCGTCTCCACCATGGCCCATCATCTCACTGGCTTCATCGGGCTCCCTCGTCCTTCTGGCTTCACCTTAGTTAGTCGTCGACCCTCCTTTGCTATGGGATTCCATTCCTCTGGCTTTGCCTCGTCCCTCCATCCCTCTGGCTCTGTCGGGCTCCTCCTTCCCTACAGATCCTCCTGGGTCCACAGTTGCTCCAGCTCCCTGCCTCCACCTCAGTCACAGGAGCCGTCGACTCTGCCTTGGCCCTCCGGACCCATGGAGTCACCCTGGCTCTTCGGCTCCGTCTCCGCCCTGGGCTCCTCTTCCATTGGCCTCGTCTCCATCAGTCGGCCCCCTGCTGTCATCAGCCTTACCTCCACCATGGCTCCTCCCTCTCACTCCGCTGGGGGCTGATACACCGGCATCTCTCTGGGTCCTGGGCAGTAGGCATTCTCCATCTTAGCCGCAGGGGTCTTGTCGTCGTCTGCCACCGGTCACTGCTCTGCCCATCATCAGGCCAGGCTCCTTTGTTCTCCATGCTATCACCAGCCCTCCACCACATCCTCGTCCAACTCTAAAACCCCCTCCATCCAACCCTCTTCTCATTTGTTACAACGCGAGGTCACGCCTTGCCAGAGGGGGTGTACTGTCACAATTATGTTCTTTTAGATTCTTCATGGACTTTTAGTTTGTTTTCTGTCTGTTTTTTTATTCAGTTTTCCTGCCACTCTTTTGTTGTCATGGAAATTCATTTAATCATCAAAGGTGTTATTCATTAGTTCCCTCATTTGCCTTGTATTTATGTTGCTCCGTCTCACTCTTGATTTAGTCTGGTATTGTTTGTGTTATACACAACTGTCTCGAGTGAGTTATTTATTAATTTGTATTGCTTTATATTCATCTTTGTATTCTTTGGACATTACGTGACAGTATGTATAGTATATTGAATGTAATGAACAGCTTGAGTGTACAATTGCTTGGATAAAAGGGTCTGCCAAATACATATTAATTCAGTTCTAAGTGTATTTTCTTAACATTATGCTAATGAATAATATAATTTCACAATTTACACTACGGTTCAAAAGTTTGGTCAGTAAGAATTTGTTGTTTTGAAATTAAATTTTATTCAGCAAGGACACATTAATTTTTTTCAAAAGACATCTATTTCAAGTAATTGTTCTTTTTAACTTTTTTTCAACAAAGAAACTAGAAGAAAAATCACGGTTTCCACTGTTTTCAACATTGATAAATGTTACTTGAGCAGCAAATCAGCATACGAGAATGATTCTGAAGGATCATGTGACACTGAAGACTGGAGAAATAACTGCTAGAAATTCAGCTTTGCCATCACAGGAATAAATAACATAAAAATAAACAGTTATATTAAACTGTAATAACATTTATTATTATGACTTTTTATTATAATTTTGATCAAATAAATGCAGCCCTGGTGAGCATAAAAGACTTCTATAAAGACTTTTAAAAACCTCACAGGTCCCAAACTTTTGAACGGCAATTTGTATGTTGAAATATTATTTGAAACGTTCCCCAAGGGACCTGTGTAACTCACCGGTATGCTGAGACTTCGCAGCACTTGTCTGATGCTGGCAATGTTGCTAATACTGGCATCTATGTGGGACTGTAGCACATCAGTCTGATTAGATGCCTGTAGTGAGCTGATGGCCTCATTCAGCACATGTATGCCTGACTGGACCTCTTGAGCTTGCTCCTCTATCTGAAGTGACACACAGAATATATTCATAAAGGAATGTTAATACTAAATGTGTTAACCATGTGGTATTAATTTGGGTACCGTCTATATTATATTATAACCTCTACAACAGGAATATGCAGGAAAACTTACATTCATCGCTTCCCAGACATCAAAATCTACTCTGGTCAGAGGAACAGTGAAGTTTGTTGCAACGCTGCAAGCATCCTTACAAGCTCTCTGTGATTGCAGAAAAATTCAAGTCACATTTATTAATATAGCACTATACACAATAGAGATTCAAAGCAGCTTCATAGTACTACACAAGAAACTAACAGTATTAATGTTGCAAACTTGAAATATGATATCAGTGAATCAATGAAATGAAATACAATTTCAGCTGTAAAGCAGCTCTAAATAGACAATAGAATAATTATTCAGCTCACTTTAGTTCAGTATTGCTTCATCAAATTATGAAACAAGCTTAAGTCATCTATAAACAGCTCTACAGAAGCAGCAGTGTCATTATTCATCTCAAGTCAGGTCAGTGTTGATTCAATTCATTTCAATAATAACAGTATCGATTATGAAACAAATTCAAATCAGCTATAAAGCAGAAGACAATTGTCACTGCTGAATTCAGTTCAGAGTCATGTGATGTTCAGTGAGAATTATTTCAGGAGTTGTTCACACAGGACATTATCTAGTGTTCAAAAACAGCTAGAGGGAGCACATGAGAAGAACACGTGTCATCTTTAACCTGACATTGCAAAGATGTTTGCAATGGCATAGATGAAATTCAAGAAACTGAAGGCCTTAGAATTCCAATTAAAAGTGTTTATAAAATCACAGCTTCAGCCATCATGTGCATGTCACTCACCAAAGCAGCCTCTGCATCCCATGCCTCCTTAATGAAATGGTCTAGGACGCGCAGGTCGCAGATGGGGCGTAATGGGGAGGACAGGCCTGGACGGGTCCACTCCAGCACCATCAGCAGTAAGGCAAAGAGTCCTGGCAGACACAGAACAAATGAAGATCAGTTTAAAACTAACTCAATCTTTGGATGAGATTAAAAACTAAACACCAGTTTTACACCTCTGCTATCTAACAAAGACTAGCAGCACTAGCCAGAACAACCAGAATCCTGAACAGTTTCTTTCCATAGGCTGTCAGATTTAATATAACCCACTCTCTAAATCCCCTTCCTGCCATAGTCATTGTTATACGGACACCAGCAGTGACTTCAAGACTCTTAAACAAGCAATATAATAAGCAGACAAAGCAAAACTGTACCAGGAGAGCAAATATAAGAGAAACAAATATTAACAATATCATACAAATTAAAAGGTGAGCGTAATTTACAGTATCATGCATAAAATAGTTTAATATTAAAAATTTAAAGTTTAATTAATAAAACCAGTAAAATTACTTTGAATTGTAATAAATGAACAAATATTAAGTTAGTGTGATTAAAGGTTAACTATGCTTTATGTTTAATAACATGGGTTGTGATGGATTTAATATTAGTTTGACATTATTAAATAACTACAGGTGTATATACTCACTGAATACAACACATAACGCCACTTAGTGTATACATCCATAACTGTGTAAAATACAGTCTAATTTATTGTTTGCAATTTACTGACATTTACTTCATTACATCTATGGATTTAGAAAAGGCGTTTATTCAAAGCAACTTACAAATGAGGAAAAACACAAGCGACTGGTCAACAACATATTTTAAGAGAGTGAAGAAGAATACCCAGATGTTTCATATTCTGTGCAAATTGTTCACTGAGTCTGTGTTAAATATCTTCACTATAGTTTTTATGTGGCAATTACATTGCTCCACTGCTCTGTAATTTATAAAAACTGCAATGAACCCAACTGACTGTCTTAAAGAGATTAAAGCAAATGTGCTATTAGCACATGGTAACAAGACTTGCCACAAGGTGGTGCACTGCTACATTTTAGTAAAGAAATATAGGAAGTGATTTTGTATTTATATGAAGTACTTCTACTCATCTGGCTCCTGAACCAGACCTTTCCTAGTCAATGGATGAACAGAAAACGGAACTCAACCACCCCATCTGTTTAAGCAGCCATCCATTTTCATTTGTCTTCAGGCCCATTCACATCAAGAACAGCAATAAAGATAACTATAACAATAACTATATTAAATGTCCACACCAGTGCATGATAATGTTCTCTTTATTATAAGGGCATGCTTCAGTTATGTCATATGCTGCTTTAAATGCTCAAGCTGCAAGATGGATTCTGATTGGCTGTCAAAGTTCTTATCATTCATCTGCTGGAAAATTCATTCTGAAAGTGATTCCAACTGTATCATTCTTCTGTCATTATTGTTAGAGATGTGGTGTGAACATCCCTATACTCACAGAATAAAGCCATTATTAAAACTTCATAGTTATCGTCTTTGGTATGAACGGGCCTTTATACTTTATGACTTCCAGATCAAGTGTCACTCTGTTGCTTCTTGCTCTACATGTCTTTATTTGTAAATGGGATCGATTTTTATGATGTGCATGCTGTAAATAGCCATTTGATTGCATTCTCTGTCAAGACAAATAAATCAATGACTGTAAAAAACTAGGTAAACAAGCCAATAAATAAGATAATCAAAAAAACAATCATACCAGCATTATGACCTGGAAAAAAGAACAAGATTTATATAAGAAGCATCTGAGAAGCAAATAAATAAATACAATTCTATTCATTAAGAAAAAGACAACACACGAAACAATGGAGACACACCCACACAATGCTGAATCTTCTGTCTTTCTGGAATAAAGAGACAGATTACACAGAAAGAGTGTTTGTGTATGTCTGGTCTGCACCATCTAATCCTCTATCACATGCGTGTCAGACTGTGTGAAACCTAACGTCGGAGTTCAAGCAAAAATGAAACGATAAAAATACATATTTGCAGTGGCAACAAATGGTAATTCTAATCTTTTCCTATTGCTTCCTAAGCCATGAGGTTCTACATCTGTACTGCTGGTGTACTTTAGGGCAGATAAGTACTGCATGATAAGTATTCATCCTATGTAACTAGTCATGTGATATTCTTGCATTTACTTGTTGGAAAATTTTGAATGCAGTCTTTCAGCTTTAGCGGGCTATGATGACGCACTAGGACTATTATCAAAGCAGATGTACCCTCTGGAGATGCTCTGATGTTAAGCACATGTTATGAAGAACTCCAGGTTGGGTCAAAATTTAGAGTAGAATATCAATGATCAGAATTTTCTTCAGACTTTGAGATAAGAAAGGATGTGATTCCTCTTTTAGCCTCAGCTTGACAAATCACTTTACTGCTGATCTTGGCAAAGAGTGGTGTCTTGTCACGAAGGCAACAGAAGTTCTGTTGACACCATGACCCAATGAAAAATCAAGAACTGTCTGAATGCTACAGAATGCACGTCCACCATGTAATCAGACCATCTCTAGCAGCTTTTCCAGGAACTAGACCTATATTTTTTCTGACCAAGACTCCAGCATTTTGCAGTCACAAAATTTAATTAAGTGTGGCCTCCTACACTTAAAAATATGAGCATAGAGCTCTATTTATTTTAGGCAGCCCTCCATCTCTCATTCAGTTACAGTGACCCAGCTACTACAAGGTCACTTAGAGACCACCATGCATGGATGCTGTTACCTTCACCCATAGATACATTTGTTGTAGTTATACTTCCGTTCAAAAGTTTGGGCATCAATGAGATTTTTTTTATTTTTTGAAAGAAGTCTTTAATGCTCACCAAGACTGCATTTATTAGCAAAAAAAAATCTATTGTGAAATATTATTACAATTTCTTTGTTAATATATTTTAAAATGTAATTTATTCCTGTGATGAGATGACAAAGTTTAATTTTCAGCAGCCATTACACCAGTCTTCAGTGTCACATGATCCTTCAAACATCATTGTAAAAACGCTGATTTAGTGCGTTTCTTATTATTATCACAGTTTAAAAACAGCTGTGCTAATAATATTTTTGTATAGATTGTGATACATTTTTTTCAGGATATTTCGTGTAACACAAATATCCATTTTTGTGAAATTGAAAATTTCTGCAACAATGTAAGAAGTCGTTACTGTCACTTTTGATCAATTGTATGTATGCTTGCTCAGTTAAAATGTTATTTATTTTCATATACTAAAGACTTTTAGACAATAAAAGAATTGAAGTTGATTATGTTTTCATACTTCTTGAATTACAACAATTAGGCAATGAAAAGACAATAAACGTAATTATTCACTTGCAGGGTCTCAGATTCAAACAGTCTTGAGGCAGTATGTTGATTTTAAGAGAATCAACCTCAAAGTCATTCAATGAAGCATGTGCTAACTCTACATAACCTTGCACAAACACATACACTTGACCTTACCCCTCTGAATGAGTAAATGATAGGAAGAGGGGGAGAGACTATATCCCATGCCTTACTCTCCAGCAGAGGGAACAGCCAACTACATTTGAGTGTCTATGAGTTTAAGGGCTTGAAGTTAGGATCTTAGCTAATGTTAAAGGTAACAGAGAAAGTGCCAACATTAAATGCCAACAACTAGTGTCTATTTTTTTGCCTTGTAAGAGAGAGCACTGTCACAGGGGCAAGTCTAACCTTCTATAAAACCAAGGACATTGACTCTAAAAGTATAACTTTGATACATTTTAGCATGTATAATTTGAATGTGAACATATACACTACATCATTAAAACAGCAATAAGTGTATTTTGGCTATAGGAATTCACTGAAGCTTTAACACAACAAAGAAGAGCTCAACAGGAAACTACAATTAAACCTGATCTACAATAATTCTCATAGCATTCTTTATTTCTTACAGGAAAAATCTCTGGAGAAGCCATTTGTGATCATCCCATGATCTGCGTTTGAGTTTTGTTCTTTCTTTCTGCAAAGTCACTGTCTCATTTTCAGAACAGAATTTGCTAGTCCATTGTCAGCTTTCGATGATGCAGCAATTTTACAATGAGTCAGCTCTCAGTACAGTCATGTAAAACATGCTTAATAAAGATGCCAGGTCATGCATGGGAAAGTCCAACACAAATAGATTGCAAGCTAGTAATGCTGAGAGCTCAAAATAATCCCCCTGACTTCCTATGTGAATAATACCTGTTTTCTGATTTAAAAAATAATAATAAAAAGTGATGTGATTGATCACTATGGGAATCAGAGTTTTAAATTAATTGATTAGTTTTGATTTCTAAATGCACTATTATAATTGCAGAGATAAATTGCCCCAAAACACCCTTTTGCCCTTTCGTAGTCAAAATAATATGATTTGTGGCAATTTGCATTTTGCCTCTCGTCCCAAGTTAGTAAACGTTTAACGTATTGCTTGCTATTCATTGCACGAATTTTACTCGACAAAACAACAAAAACACAGTTTTCCACTTGTGTTGCTAAATACACGTTGAGACAGTAAGAATCAATTTTATAAAAGCGTAATTATCTTACCTGAACCGTGAAACATTCGCAAAACAACTTGGCATTTTTCAAACACATGATTAAATATGACAAATATCGCGCAAGGACAGCTAAACTGGTGGCACAAAAGACATGGATAGGCTGGAGCACAGACGCATCCAGTCCTACGCGCTGCTTCCAAGTACTCTGTGGGACGCACACGCGATCAAGTACAATGACACCGTTCCTTCCCATGAAGCACGTACTGCGATCCGTTCGGCTTTGCAGCACGCTATTGGCAAGCTTTCTATGAATGTAAATTCCCCCTCACTCCACGAAAGCGCACCGCGACTACGGAGAAAAGGTGGACCTCTCTCATCAATGTTCAGAAAGAGGTGGAGAATGGACTTGTCACCCATGAAACAGCTACAAAATGTTAAACCTCAGGCGGGATAAAAAGGCTGAGGCCGTTTAATTTACTCACTGGTTATCTGCATCTCAGAATCTAGTCCTCACAGGATCCTCTCCGTTTCGTCCATAGCTTCGTCTATTGCCCGTTAATTGCAACCGAAGCTTTTAAGGTATTGTCAGCACTCATCGGTTCCGTAATGCTTATTTATTTATTTTCAATCCATGACTTTGAAAATAAAAATAAAATATTACAGTCTCGTGATAGTTATCAGATCAACTTCCTGTTTTGGAAGGGACTAGTCTTTCATTGTTACTCACATAATATCTGTTTTCTCAAAGCAAATAGCGCACCAAAAAAAGTTAGCACGGCTTCCTCTCAAGGCAATTTACAATGATCCTTTAACTGCATTTTCCACTGTATACTTCCAGACAAGGGTGGTAACACAAAGAAATTAAACAATACAACTATGCATCCCTGTATGCTTCTTAGTACCCCAGGTTGTTGTTTTTTTTTTTTTTTGAGAAGCAGTTCTTCATATTCATTCAGCAAACCTTTAAATTTGCAAGAATTATAGGTCCTGTTTACCTAGCACCTTGGAGATCTTAAGCCAACAAGGTACGTCAAACGAATGACTGAGACTTCAGTTTTGCAACCATCCAAGATGCTCCAGGGGAACTATCCACACAGATGTTAAAAAAACAAGTAGTAGAAATAGGTAACTTTCAGGTAAAAACAACATTTAGAGGTTATTTTGCAACTTTAAATTTAAGTTATAAGTTATGTTATACATTTGGTTCATCTAATCCTGTCATTCACATTTTAAGGATATAGCTGTCACTTTATAAGCAGCATATTCCAGCATCTCCCCACCACACCCACCCTTATTTCTTATATTTATATTAATTAAGTAGGGGAACTTAAACATCACCCTCCACTATGAATCGTGAAATCTGTTTACTTTCATTACTCTCCACGAATACTAGAGGAACATAAAGGTTCTTTGTCTGCATCTACGGTTCCATGAAGACCCTTTAACATTCATGGAAACTTTCCATTCCATAAAAGGTTATTTGTAGTGGAAAAAGATTCTTTAGATAATTAAAATGTTCCTTACACTAAGAAAAAAAAAAAAAATTTTTTTAAGAACTATTCAATGAAAGGTTCTTTGGGGAACCCAAAATGGTTCTTTTATGGCATCGCTGTGAAAAACCATTTTTAAAACCTTGATATTTAAGAGTGAACTTTATTTGTAGACCAAATTGTGAATCTCTGGAAATTGTTCCGGATACCATTTGGAGTTGAACTAATGGATGAACTTTGTATAGCCTTTCAATAACTCTTACCAGGCTCTTGAAGTGTAATCTAAAATCAAGGAGAAAATGTACCAGAACTACTTTATATTGTCTGGTAAATTGACAAAAAGCATTAGGAATATTACATATGTCAAATGTGTTTAAATGTAATTGGCACAGAATAGTGTAATCCAGGAAGGTAAAGTGAGTCTATCCAGGAAAACATACTGGGTCACTGAGAAGGCAAAGAGTGTATAAAAGGCAATAAAAAATATCTATACATCTCTAGAGGGCATTCACAAGAGAGAATCTCTATGGGTTTTGTCTAAGGCACAAAGCTTACTTGTGTGGCTTTTTTTTTTGTCCAGAATACTTACAGCCAAAAATACTAGGCTGAATTACGTGTCAGTTTCAGTAGTGAGTCTTGAGTAAGTTACATTTTTTACGTGCAGTTGTATACTTCACGTGCTCTTTCAGGCAGGTCTGTTTGTTGAAGGATGACAGAATAGAGGTTGTTTGGGCAACAGTTGTACAATGTATTTATTTCCAAGTATACATGTACTCATGAGGCCCAACTCCTCTCAGTTCTAAGGATAATCAATAAAAAAAATCTCTCTGCTTAAATGCTTCTGCAGATATATTTTTTTCTTGTTTATAAAATATAATCACCACAAACCTCTTTGCTGTTTTACTTTTAATATCTATCTCTCTATATTTACTTCTAATATCTTTACCTGTTTGCAAGAGATATTAGACACAATCACTGAATAATATTTCATCTGTTTCATCAGAATTATAAGTTGTTTACACACACACACACACCCAAGTTCTGTATCGCTTAGACTCTTTGTGTTAGATGTCATGCCTCTGCAGCTCACAAAACTAGAAAAACAGTTTGGATATCGCTGTATATTATTTCCTCTGTTTTAGTAAACACCACAATAATAAGGTGTTTGCACACACGTAGACAAGTTCTGTATTGCCTACAGACACCATGTCTGTTGTCATGGCTCTAAATCTTTCCAAATCATTTGTCGCCTTGTTTGATCAAACTACTGTTTGCTCTGCTTGAGCCAAACTGAGAGCAAAGAGAGACAAGGTACGTGCTGTGGAACATGTGTGATGGCTGGAGAGGGGGCGAGGGCGGGGGAGTCTCGGCATAGTGACTCCAAGGCTTGGACCCTGTCATTGAAATTGGGATGATTAAAAAAAGACAGGGGTTATGTGTGGGAGGAAGCCTCCCCTTTATACTAGTAAACAAAGACAGCCAGAAGCTGGTGATGCAGAGATGAGGAGAGAGAGCGAGTGAGAATAAGAGGGAGATCTGCATAGTAAATAGAGAATGACTGTTTTGATTCCTGAATGGAAAGAGAGCCAGATCAGGCTCCTTGTTTGAGGTACAGTGGCGCGCCACAAGACAGGAAACTTACATAAAAGAATAGGGGACGGGGAGGTCGGAGCCACTAAGGTGGCCTGTCGGAAGTTATTGTTTCTGAATAAGAGGCTTCCAGAATTAATAATCGTGAGTTCAATGGGTAAAGCTTCCTTTCGGATTGTTTGCCCTGTTAGTGATTCTCTTTATACTCCATAGGGTATACATGGTATATGAACACACTGTTATGTACTGCTCCTAGACTTGAAAGGTTGGAGATCCAAATGCAGCTTTTATTGGGACAATCCAGAAACGTAATCCAAAATACAGGCAACAGGTCAATACACAGGCAACAATCCAAACAAGCAACAAGGCAGGAAACACATGCAAAAGGGTAATCCAAGAGATTGACAATAAAGACTGGTGTAAAATCTGCTGAAAATTCAGCTTTGCCATTTTAGGAATAAATCACATTTTAAAATATATTAAAATAAAATAAAATAGAAATGTTATTTCAAATGGTAATAATTTGTAATTTATTTTTGGTCAAATAAATGAAGTAAACTGATAAAAAAAATACAATAAAACAGTAATATTATGAAATATTCTTACAATTTCATATATTTAAAAATATAATTTATTCTTGTGATGGCAAAGTTGAATTTTCAGCAGCCATTACTCGAGTTTTTAGTGTCACAAGATCCTTCTGAAATCATTCTAATATGCTGATTTGGTGTTCAAGAAACATTTACAACATTGAAAACCGCTTTTACTGCTTAAATTTTTTTTGTAATATACAACCATTCACTCTCACCACAGATTGGGGTAAAGAAGAGAAAATAAATTAATAGTTTTACATTAAGCGAAGTCACGTTACATTGATGAAAAGTGACTGTAAAGACATTTATAATGTTTCAAACGATTATATAAAATGAATGCTGTTCTTTTGAACTTTCTATTGATCAAAGAATCTTGAAAAAAATGTAGTACGGTTTCCTCAAAAATATTAAGCAGCAATAATAATAAAAACTATGAATAATAATTGATAATTGAGCACCAAATCAACATATTAGAATTATATCTGAAGGATCATGTGACATTTAAGAGTAATGGCTGCTGAAAATTCAGCTGGCTTTAATTTACATAGAGATGTACTGCAAAGTGAAGCTCTAACTGTTTCAAGATAAGGGTCTGCAGGCCAAAAGAGGAAACCTGCAGATTATTTGGCAGTGTTCTCCCACACACAGCCTGCTGGTGGCCCTACTGCTCTAAACAACCTGACTGATTGTTTCAGGAAGACCCTTTCCTCTCGCCCTGGAACCCGCTACCCACCCCTTCATCTTCAGCTATAAATATCATACTGCTCTTTGGGAGGTGTTGGGATTTTAATAGACTGGAAAGAGCTTCATTTACTGATAAAATCTGCACTTTACAATGATAGACTGCCATATAAGGATATTTCTAGCTTTGGCCTTTGCTCTCTCCAGCAGAAACAATAGAAATAGAAATCTTCATTATCTTTGGCACTTCAACAAAAGTGAATAACAATCTTTATTTCAGAATTAAATCATTATTTTTGATTCATAATCAAAATGTATATTCAATCAATTTCAGTGTCATTTCACACGACATCAAACAACCATCTTTCACCAGCTTAACAATTTTTTCCCCCAATGCATATTATTTGCCTTTTGTGCAGCTATGCTGATTATATCCCAATAAAATGCTATAAATTAGTTTGCTCCTGCAATTGTCAAATAGTCTCTGGACATTTTTTCCCCAAAGCTTTCAGTTAGTGCAAATGAGCATTAGTCAAAAACATGCTGTGCATAAAGTCACATAGTGTACATTTTAAAATGAGTTAATAGGCTTGCGTGTAATCCGCTACCACTGACATAGTTATTGTTGTTAGATCAGTACTCCTTGTTCTGGCTGTTGACCAGTCTTATACAGCAGATACATGCTAATCATTTCACTATGCCACATTCACAGTTGAACCATTCAGAGAATGACCAACAGCCTGCCAATAAACAAAAAGAAATCTTGAGGTCATTTCATGAATGAAGACAGAAGTACTTAAACAGCTGCTGAAGCTAACAGAGAAGCCAATAATGCAGTCACAAGTGTCTTACATAATATTACTTAAATGTTCACAATTACACATCAACGAAAATGTTAAACCTGCATGTTTAGTAAGGTTTTGGCAACAAACATTTTTAAAAAGTGGCAACACTTAAGTTAGTAATTCCTGTACACTATTTGCATGCAATGTTCAAACAATAGAGTGTACACATAATTATTCTCAATAAAATCTCAGAAAAGGATTCAACAAGAAAAAGTTGGATGCAATAACTGTGCAATTCGGTGTGACACTGCCTACCTCCACTCACCTACAGTTATCCGTACAGTCTTGTGTCCAGCATCAATCATAACTACACACCCACAAACCGTGTGACCTCTTTAGATACAGGGTTTTATTCTTTCCATTCTAATCACTGTATTTTACATCAGAGGCTTGATATTTAGGATAGCTTTGGAATGTCTTCCATCTCCAGATTTCTGTCTGATCTTAAGTGTTCATCTTTTGTCTATCTCAAGACAAAACATTCAATTTCAGGCCAGCATTCACATATCCCTTATCATGCATTGTTTATCGTAGTCTATTCTTTGACCTTGTGATCTGTTTTTTGCATGCTGATGTTTTTCTGTATTTTAATTATACCTGCTGTGTCTTGACCTTGTTTTAGTAATGGTTTACATCCCTTTCAGTTTAATGGCTCTTATCCATCCACCAAAGCCAACTGTTAATAAACCATAATATATATTTATTGGGGGAATTATTTTTTTACTTCACAGAAAATGTTAAATAGATGATTGGTGGCGTATGTTTAAAGCATTATCGAAGCATCAAATTTTACCTTAATCCCTGCATTTTATTTTAAAAAATCAATATTTGGTTTGGATTGTACAGCTTCTATTTTCTACCATTTCACAGTAGGCTTTTATGGTAAATGCACAGGACATTTCTATGTAAAACAAGTCATTTAATTTAATGATTAAAAGAACAAAAAGCCATCTCATGCAAAAGCCTCATATAGCAATATGCAAGGACTAATCCTACATAATGGGTCGAAAACTGTTTACCAAACCCTTTGTTTATACTCATACAGGATGTTTTCTTTTCCCTGACAATGGCATCCAGTCTATCCAGAGATATTTTGGGGTCTGTATCTGCTTTGGAACCTTTATTAGCAGAGTGATATTACTTCTGCCAGTGTTGTTTCTCTGGTTGCATAGGTTTTTGTTTATCTTCATGTGTATGGGAAATTGACAGAGGAGGATGCAGTCTGAATTTGTGTTTCTGTCCATAAGGAAACAACTTCGAGAAACAAAAAGACTGTAAGCTCCAATCAATTTTTTTAAGATAGCGACAGAACACACAACAAGGGGAACAATCAAAATGTCAAATATATTATTTCCTAAAGCATTATTCAAGACACGTAATCTTTAAACAATCAGTTCAGTAGTTGCAACATGATGCATTACAATACAACAACTGCAATGCACATAATGTTGATCACAAGGTTGGCATTTATTGCATAATCAATTAATAAAAGTGTGTAACAGAACGTAGCTTACCTTATTCATAGCACTGGCCAAAGCAAGCAGTGCTCTCCAAAGCCAGAGTGGAATAGATCTAAGGATATAGGCCAGGGGTGCCCAAACACGGTCCTGGAGGGCCGGTGTCCTGCAGAGTTTAGCATGTTTGGATCAGGCCGTCAATCCTTTACCAAAGGAACTCAGCATTTACTGTTTCCACATTTCACTCACTTAACGTTAGGCTTTTACTTTCAGAAGTTGTTTCAGTGTAATTGCTGACTGGTTGTTCATAATTCATTAAAGATTCACTTTTCCGCCCGTGGGACGAACGGTTTAAAGTAGGCCCCTACGGTGAGGAATGTTTCGGTTCGGTTCTGCAAAGTATACGCCTACAAACCGTTCTGCCGCCCAGATGGTGGAAAAGCGGCTGATATAGATTTAGCCTTTATCGTAAATAAATTGGGAGAAAATAACAATTTAAACAATTTACATTTATAGGATAAAACCTACGGAGCGTTCCTGTTTTTTATCTGTAGTTTCATAGGCCTACATCTAGCCTAATTTTAGTGTATCTTTTATCCAAACTGTTTAAATTGAAATGTCAGGGGTGTCAACAGTAGGCCTGCTTATTAGTTCTACAACACCCAGAGCTGTGTTTATAGACTAAGGTGACCAGATTTCTGAAATGAAAACCGGGGACATTGCCTAGTTCAGTGATCAAAATATCACTGAAATCTCACATGTGATAATCTACTAAATAAGAAAACGGGGACAATATATTTGTGTATGTTTTTTGTTATTATTGTTTTTGTTTCCAAATATTAATATCATAATTAGTCATTACAATGATGTTTAAGGATCAAGCTTACCCTGGTTTATTAATAGGACTACAATTCTCCAAAAATTAAAATAGTAAACAGATCAAAACAGGATTATAACAAAATTATGACACAAACAAACAAAAAAAAAACAATAAAAATGAGAACATATGATAAATAAAACTGTATTTAACAAATATTTTTGGAAATGGATCTTTACTACCCCTAATCAGGCTTATTTTGCATTTTAGGCTAATTTTGACCACAAAGTATGTGCTTTCTGCAAGTGTAATTGTTTAGTTTATTTATTTATTATTATTATATTAATTCATATTATTATTATTCATATCGGAGTCGTGACGGCGGAAGTTGAATGAAGATTAATGTTTAATACTGTGTGCAAAAACAATCCCACCTTATACCTTGTTATAAAGTGCACACAAACAGTATTACTTTGTTTTAACATGTATATAGTTAGTATGTGACTACCTTGAAACCAATAACGGTGTGTCTCTTTTGATCATTGACGATAATAGCGTTCTGCTCTAGTCCCAAGTTCTTCTTGGCTATTACATTAATTGTTAAGTGTTTATACTTGCAATAAAAAAAAAAGTTATTCTTGGCTAAAGTAGCAGCGCCCTCTGTTGGTGAAAGTAATCGTTGTTTTGAACGCGCTGTAAAACGGGGACATTTCCGGGGACAGTTCCAGTCGGGGACAGGACACGAAAAACCGGGACTGTCCCCGGAAAACGGGGACGTCTGGTCACCCTATTATAGACCCTATTCGTTGTTAATTAAAAGTCCATTATTATCACGCTTTTATGTGTGTAAAACAGAAAAGATCGCGAATTTGAAGCGGAACTGTTTTAGAACGAGCTCATACACCACAGGGAAGAGTTTCAGAGATGGACGTGTGTGAGAGAGCTGTCATGACCACACGTTTTTCCTTGTTTTTAAGTATGTGAACGCTAGCTATCGGCGCTGATATACACGCACTGACATGGAAGATACGGAAAAAAGAGGGACACAGAAAACTGAGTGTATAGATTGGGGTAGACTAGTTTGTGGACAAACGCCGATAACAGCCAATAACGAAACACGGAAGGATATATTAGTAATGAATGCCCATGACGGACTACCGCAGCCGTCGCCAGACTGTGACAGATGCTCGGTAATATCAGGAGAGTGTCTCTATTATCATTATGGTTGTGATGGCAAAGATGACAGAGGTTGGGGTTGTGGATACAGGACTATTCAGACAATGGCTTCATGGTTGTGTCTTAATCAGCCTCTCACTGTGATCCGCAGACACCCGCCTAGTCTTTCTGAAATACAACACACTTTGGTGGAAATAGGGGACAAACCCGATTCATTCCTGGGTTCTAGGGAGTGGATTGGGACATTTGAGGCAAGTCTTGTTCTTGACCAGCTCTATGATGTTCCCTGCCGCATACTGCATGTGCGATATGGCAAGGAGCTTGATCAAACTGTAGAAGATCTTCATGACCACTTTCTTACCCGTGGGTCGCCAGTTATGATGGGAGGAGACAGGGACAATTCCTCTAAGGGGATCTTAGGTGTGTGCACTGGTAAATGGGGGAGTTATTTGCTTGTTATGGACCCTCATTACTTCGGCTGTCCCTTGGATAAAAAGTCATTGCAAAGTCAAGGTTGGGTTTCATGGAAAGCAGTTGGTTCTTTGGATCAGTGCTCTTTCTACAATCTTTGTCTCCCTCTTACTGCTAAGAAGTGACAGTGGCTGTTTCACCCAATCACTGAATAAAATAATAACGAAATAAAAATGGCATTGACATTCATGCTCATTTCTTTCATGTGTCTCAAAGCTGTCACAGCAAGAGCAATATTTGAATATCAAACCATGACAACGAACTGATAAATGAGCAGAAATATGTGACTGTACAGTAGACACTGAATTTTATTTGTACATTTATTTCACAGATGAGACATGCAAGTGTTAACAGCATACTGATGTCTGTCACACTGTTGTGTTTACATTTAATCTCATTCATTTACCCAAAATGTGCTTTAGCTTTACAGAATGTTAAACAACATGTTAACATCTAATAAAGGTAAAGATCATACCAGAAATAAAGCTCAGTTGTTTCGCTGGAATATTTAGCACATATATTGTTAATCTCTAAAATGTATCTTTGAACTACTTTTTCCCAAAGAAAAAGATAAGTAAATCATTATGTATTTTAATGTGTGATGAAGGGGGTTTAAATGCCTTAAAGGGATAGTTGATGCAAAAATGAAAAGAGTTTATTTTTTCTGCTGAACACAAAAGAAGATATTTTGAAAAATGTGCGTAACCAAACAAATGCTAGTTCCCATTGACTTCCATAGTATGGAAAAAAAAACTATGGAAGTCAAAGGAGACTAGTTACCTACATTCTTTAAAATATATTTTATGTTAAACAGAAGAAATAAACTAATACAGGTTTGGAACAGCATGAGGGTGAGTAAATGATGACAGAATTTTAATTTTTGGTTGAACTATCCCTTCAATTCAATGAATTAAAACATGACCTTTTACCATTCAAATGTCTTCATATTAATCTTAATGTAATATCTGCAATTCTGATGAAAATGAACCCCTTGGATTGGTTCATTATCCAATTTTATCTTTACACATCTGACACACAGTCACTGTAAAAGATCTGGAAGTTCTTGTCCACCTCCATTTTGCCCTTGAGAAACTTCTCCAGATTCTTGATGGGAACCTCCACCATGTGGTTGTTCACACGATCATTAAGACCGTAGGCACCGAATGCCGGAAACTTGTACCGCTCTGAGTAGGGAGCGTTGTGATCGTAATCTGTGCAGCAATAGGCTGTCCACATGAATTCTGGGATGGCGACACGATCTAGGTTATCACGTCGAATCATATTACCTGATGTTGTCACACCAGTGATCACATAAGCCTTTCCGTGACAATAGTTGTTGAGCCGTTTGCGGGTTACTTCTACCTGTGTGCTCCAGGGACCAAAATTGAACTCCCTTATCAGGGGAACTACATTGGTTAATGTGTAGGTGGCAGCTTTGTCCAGTGGGTCTGCTTGATGCTCATCTGGGTTAATTTGGCCGCGTTCATATTGCACCACATCGGCGTAGTCTTCTAACACAGCCTGCGTGTCTTCAAAGTTTTTGTGCATTAAGGAAGCCTGTGGAAAGGGTTCCATGTTACTGCTTCCTTTCTCAGTTGCCAGCTGTGCAAAATGAGAAATGCAGGTGATTAAGATGGATTTAGATTCCCAGGAGCATGAAGAGAAAGAAGATTAAACACCCTTGTCAAATGTAATGATTACAATACCCAGATCACATTCAAACATTTCAGGAGAGAAACATTCAAATTCTGTATATATATATATATATAGTATTGAAACATATTATTGATTGATTGATTGCAAAGTCGGGTAACCATTCAAAAGTTTGGGTGGTAGATTGTGTTTTTCAGTTATGCTCACCCAGGCTGCTTTGGTTTGATTAAAATAAGAGAAATATTGTGAAATGCTAGTAAAAGTTGATTTCAATATATTTTAAAGTGTAATTTATTCCTGTGATGACAAATCTGAATTTTCAGAGGCCATTATTCCAGTCTTCAGTGTCACATGATCTTTCAGAAATCATTCTAATATGCTGATTTGCTAAAAAAACATTTATTATTATTATTATTAATGTTAAAAACTATTGTGCTGCTTAAAATCATTGTGGAAAATATAATATGTTATTCTTAGCACACACTCACCTGTGGTTCAAACATCCAGGGAATGTCTACCCGTTTCTCCCCATCTGATTTCTTAAAGGTGTATGCTGAATAGATGGGGATGTGTTTTTTGGGGTCGTAGAGGGTCACAAAGCGAGGGTTGTCCACATAGCGCTGGCAGATCTTTTTTAGGGAAGTACTGAGGTAACCTCGTGGTGGAGTGCCCATATAAAGGAAATCCTTACAGCGATCTACTTGGGAGAAGTCGTCCACCACTCCGGCTTGTGATCTTAATATCAAACACATCAGTGGGATCAGCAAGGTTCCAAACCAGGACCAGCAATAGACCATGAGATTCATGTTGTCCTAAAAAGTTTAAATTGTTGTCTTTCTTTGTGAAATGTTCTTTGGACTGACCTAGGTAGGACAGTATCACAAGAAATAATTTCAGGAAAAAAAACTCCCTTTTCTGTGGCTGGTTTCTTCACTGTCTCCAATGGACTGTCTTTATCTCTTTTAAAATTGACTGACTCTTCACTGGTAGGTGGAGAATAAAATGAGAGCCACTGAATTTCTAATGCAGAGTACAAAGTACATGCAAAACCATGTTCGGAAAGTCTGATCTACAATAATACCAACTTCAAAATTGATAAGACGAACTTCAGTGTGCCATTATCCTCATCAACATGCAAATCAGCAAGGTAAATTTGCTCACTGCTTGTCGAATGTTCATTGGCTCCTTAAAGGTGAATATAGTTTTCTGGTCAGCCAGCAACCTGAGCCAGAATAGGATGTGATAGAAAAGAACAGTGACTTTAAATTGAACTAAATGCTACTTTAAGACAAACGTTTGAGTAATATACAATCGCATGTGATTATCTGAATTAAACACTCAATAATCTATGTAAATATGAGAACAATAAACTGCTAATGCTATATGGACTGTTAATTGGCTTATCTTTCCATGTTGCACCATTGTACTCAGTTCAGTAAAAAATTACACATACTCTTACACATACATTCCAACAATAACAGTAGATCAGGCTGTAACTATATGATTAGTCACCACTGAATTGTGTTCACAATTTCAGCAGTTAAAACATCTTTAAATTCACATTCATATACACACTATATCAACAAAGTGATATTTAAATGCAGTGCTATAAGCTATTTAAAGACATGGACACAGTCACATCATGCTCTGCAGTGTGGCATGATAATATGGAAATCATCTAAGAGTAGGACAAAGTCTGACAGGTGACTTTATTCTCTTCTCAGGTATATTGTAGTCTTGGCTGATTGCATTTAATTTAAATAAAAAAATATTACAGCACAGGCATAGAGCACTTAGTTTCCTAAAGCTAAATCTGGATTTCCTTAGCTCTCTTGCCAGCATCTGCTGCAAGCCACACCCACTGGACATTATTTTTTATTCGTTTATTTACATTATTCTCTTGACTGGCTCTTGAATTCATTATCATTGCACAGATGCTTAATTTTAATGTTCACAAATTCTTCTTAACACTAAAATATATCAGCATGATCAAAACCTAATGAAACTTTTTGCTCAGTTTGTTACACACACACACACACACACACACACACACACATATATATATATATATATATATAAATTGCATAATTTTTCTAAAGGTTCAATAAACGTTTCCATTTAAAATAAACAAAATTTTCGGACAATTATTGCATATGTAAGGCTTTACACTTTACAGGGTTGAGAAGCTTTCACTCACTTCCTATTGGTATGTGTATTTTCTGTGAGACAGTCTTTGAAAAAGATGCTCACGCTTTTGTCCATGCCTGTCTGATTTTTCAGGAAGGTCTCTAAAGCTTTCAAAGGCACTTCTGTAACACTGTGTCCCACTATCTCATTCAAAGCATATGCTGCATAAGTGGGAAACATGTACCGTACATCATAGGGTGAATTTCGATCAAACCGTGGACAGCAATAAGCGGACCACAAGTGCTTTGGGACAGCCATGCGGTCCTCTCTTCCTCTTCGGATGGTCACCCCTGATACAGTCACCCCAGTCACCACATAGGCAGCACCACGACAGAAGTTATTCAGGCGGCGGCGCACTGTATCAATATACACGGCCCAAGGACCCTCTAATAAGTCTGTGATCTGAGGCACCACATTTGTGAGTGTATAGGTAGCTGCTTTATCTTGGTTGTCTGCCTGGTGCTGGTCAGGGTTAAGTGGGCCACGCTCAAACTCCACTGCATCAACATAGTCTGCTAGCACAGCCTGGCTCTCCTCAAGCAGTTGATCGGTTTCACCACTAGAGGGCAACTCTCTCATGTTTTCGCTTTCGTCAGCAGAAACCAGCTGGGAAAAAGAACAAGAAATCCATATAGAAGCTCATATTGACAGAACAATAAAAGTATACGGACAGTACCAATTAGTGTTATGTGGTGATTTCTCTGTTGTCAAAATAAAGACTATTTTGTTTCAATTATGTAGAAGATTTAGAAACTAAGGTAATCTGCTACCTGTGGTTCATACATCCAGGGTGTGTCCATCCTCCTCTGTCCATCTGACTTTTTGAAGGTGTAAGCCGAATAAAGTGCCAGTCGATGACTGCCGTCATACAGTGTGGCATAACATAGTTTATCTCCATAGCGTTGGCATATCCTCTTCAGATTGCCCCCTCGGATACCTGTGGGTGCTGTATGCATGTAAAAGAACTGACTGCATTCTTTAAAGCTGTCAGAGACCGTGCCGCCTGCTAGACACAAACCTGTCAACAAAAGAAGCCTAAAGATAAAAATCTTACAAAGAGCCATCAGAAAGTAAAAAAAACAGAAGATAAGTTATCAGTGTTTGTAACAAAATTTCCAGTTTTTAAATGCAAAGACAGGCAGATCCATCTGTTCTTCCATGGTGTTCCAAGCCAAACTGATAACCTGGAAGAGTGAAAGTCACCACATGCAAAGCATCAGCTTTCTTACCCTGCCATGTGTAAACCTATTTGACCAATGGAACAATGGAAGAAAATGGAAGGTCTTGAGAACAGAATGAACAATCTCAGATTCAGCTCATAAAGGAATTTGGCTTAATTATGGCAATCACGGTATGTCTCTTGAAATAAAATATAAGCACAGCCCATTGCTCCCACAATAATTTAAAAATGTCTCATAATATTTAAACAGGAAGTGAGGATACAATATTCTGTCATCAATGTGTTTTTGGAATACATCTTGGCATAATCATGGCATTCATAGTTTTCATGTGATGTCACATGGGCAAAATGATGCCCGCCAGTATTTTTTTTTTATTAAGTTTACCAGGATTGTACTAAGGTCCCATAGGTAGATGGGGATCAGCTGAAGGTCAGCTGATGTGAGCTTGACTAACGTGACCTGCCAGAACTAACGCTACGCTTGATTGTACCAAGACAGTGATATTGACATACCAAACTTAATATACAACTTTTTAATGATGCATAGGTCTACTATGTATGCACGTTAAACGGTTTCCCATAGGAAACCATTATAACGAAAATGCTTAATATGGTTTAATCATAGACTGTATAAAAACATGGACGTAGTGTCCGTGACAT